TGCGGGGGAAGTAGGATACACAGCAGACTCAGAATGGCAAATGCCTTAAACAGCACTCTGGCCTCAGAATCAACCCTTAAGGCATTGGGATCTGGCTAAAAGGTCCATGAGAGTCTCACAGGCATGGAAAGCCAAGACATTGTGGCAAAAACGACCTGAATGAAAGATCTTGGTGAATGAGATCCCAGCAGAATGAACGGGCCATCAATGAAGGAGGCACCTTTCTCTGAAGGGAGGAAGGACTCTCCACTGTGATATGGCCTTGACAAAATAAGATCAGAGTTGGTGAATGCAGGAGGCTTCCATAGCCTTGACAGCTCATGGCAAGAGCCTCGGGTGATTACTGATGTCACAAACAAGAGTGTCAATTGTTAAATCAACAACGGGAGTCACTGTGCACCTGCTCCCCATGTACGATCTCTGTCCTTAATGTGTTTTACTATGAGAGTTAACGGTAAAACTACTAGTCGAACAGTACTCTATATCTTGTGCAGTTGTGTGGGTGCAGTCTGTTGAAATCTTTACTTAGTATATACTAAGTTGATCATCTGTATATAAAGATAATTGAAAATGAATCTTGATGAAGGGTGGCATGGGAAAGGAAGTGGGAGATGGCATGGTTGCGGGTGGAGGGAGGTTATGGGAGGAAAAGCCACAACAATGCAAAAGTTGTACTTTGTAAATTCAAATTTATTAAATAAAAAAAAGAATTAAGAAATCAGCCTGTCTGCAGTGGGATCTCTGCCCTTCCACTTACAAAATATGGAACTTCTTCAAGTTCCTTGGGACTATATTTGCTTCAGTTTAGTAATAAAAAAAAAAGTGTAAGTAGTAAAAAAAAAAAAAGAGTATCATACATATAATAACTTGTTTGCTTTAACTAAGCACATATTCATTTTAAGATTTATTTGTTTAGCAATTCTTTTTGTTCTTAAGGTATACCCTACTAGGTATACATAGTCAAATTGTTATAGAGTCAGTTGTAATATTTCTTGTGTGATTCTACTATCAACTGAATAAACATTTAGATTTATTTATTTTATTGTGATGCTTAGGGACTGGTTTCTTTAAATGATGCATTTACTTTTATTTTATAATTTTATAGATTATTTTTGTGGTTCTATAATAAAATATACAAAAAATGTGTTTTTATTTTTTAAAGACTTATTTACTTATTTGAAAGTCAGAGTTACACAGAGAGAAGGAGAGGCAGAGAGAGAAAGGTAGAGAGAGAGAGAGAGAGAGGTTTTCCATCCGCTGGTTCACTCCCCAATTGGCCACAATGGCCAGAGCTGGACCAATCTGAAGCCAGGAGCCAGGAGTTTCTTCTGGGTCTCCCACATGGGTGCAGGGGTCCAAGGACCTGGGCTGTCTTCTACTGCTTTCCCAGACCATAGCAGAGAGAGCTGGATCAGAAATGGGGCAGCCGGGACTCAAATCAGTGCCCATATGGGATGCCGGCACTGCAAGCAGCGGCTTTATCCACTATGCCACAGCGCTGGCCCCAAAAGGATATATTTTTAAGACATTTGGCTTCTGTTCCTATCCCTGTATCCTATTTGTCCACTCCCACAATAATTTTAATTCATTTTGTAGTACAACCTTCTATTTATGTTTATTATATAAGCAAATATGTGTGTGTGTGTGTGTGTGTCAGAGATGGGTAGAGAAGACCATGGCCCCCTTTCTCAGATAAATATGCTACAACTATCTTTCAAGATTAATTTGCCAATGGCTGGACCGGCGCTGTGGCACAGTGGGTTAACACCCTGGCCTGAAGCACCAGCAACCCAAATGGGCGCCGGTTCAAGACCCGGCTGCTCCACTTCCTATCCAGTTCTCTGCTATGGCCTGGGAAAGCAGTAGAAGATGGCCCAAGTTCTTGGGCCCCTGCACCCACCTGGGAGACCCGGAGGAAGCTCCTGGCTCCTGGCTTCAGATCAGCGCAGCTCCAGCCGTTGCGGCCAACTGAGGAGTGAACCATCAGATGGAAGACCTCTCTCTCTCTCTGCCTCTCCTCTCTCTGTGTAACTCTTTCAAATCAATAAATAAATCTTAAAAAAAATTTTCACAATGACTAATTCATTGAAAATGAGTTATATACCCTGTGACCCAGTGATTACAACTACATTTTGACCACACAAGGAAACATGTTCTAAGATATTTTTAGAGCATTGTTTATAATAGGTAAAATTAAAAGATAAATGTTAATTAATAGATTATATACCCTTATGCATACAATAGAGCATATTCATATTTTGCAATTTTAGTCAATGAATTATATCTGTCAATTTGATTACTAGTGCATTCTCATATATGTTTCATGATAGAATTGGTATTTTTTATACTATAAACTCAAAAGTCATTTATTTTGTGAATATATAGTTAATATGCATGGGTGTGTGTATGGCCTGTTTGTGCTACTTTTTTGAAGACTACAAAGTTTAACATATAATCCTTTATATGCAGTAACTTAGGTAAGTAGATAAGGCATATGTTTGAAATGTAAACAATAAACAAGAACAGTGCAGACAAGATCACAAGACATTACAGATAGCATCTGACTTACACAGTCTTTTATTTTCATATACTAGCTGTCAAGCACAGACCTTACCACTGACTGGAATACCATGTTCATTTCTACCATTGTAGATTTGCATCACATTGGGACATTGGAGGGAAGAGGGAAGAAAGAAAGCAAAACAAATAGCTCTTCTCCCATGCCCCTACACATTGCACCTCTTATCCACATAAGAAAATGCTCACCATGCCTATATATATATATATATATATATATATAAAATTGTACTGTGCCCCATTTTTTTTACTTCACAACTTAAGTGTAGTCTTTTCCTTAAAATTTTCCTCATTAAAACATAAAACCAATCTCACCAGAAATAAGTGTAAAATGGGTAACTGAAATAAAAGAGGGATAATTATAAGACAAAAAGTACAGTTTTTCTAGGTAATTAACCTTTATTTTAGCTATGCATTAAGCTTAAAACATAACATAATGATAATTTTAGTAGTATTCACTCTAAAAATAAATCCTAGTTCATGATTTTCCATCTTAGTTTTAGAAAAATCTGAGCTCTAGATACATTTGGTCTCTTTCCCAATTATTGTCTTTGAAATGTTGCTATTCACAACCAATAACTACCAATCGCTCCTGCATTTATTTAAGACCTATTTGTACTAATTACTTATGACTGTATAACTGGGATAGGTAATTACAATCCCCAGCTTACTAAAATGAAAAATAAATCATGATATTTTAGAGTAATTTTTCACATAAACACTTATACCTTGGCAGTGCTTAAAATTAAAACTCACATAGAAAATAATGACTTACTCCTGATAGGGTCAATCATAGGATTTTGTTTTCTGTAAAGTAGATACAAATACTTAATTTTTAAAAATTGGAATAATCTGCAAGCTTTTCATGCTATATTCTATAACACTACATCAGGAATGCTTAATATGGCTTTGGTCATTGCAGCAGCTCCTTACTGCTGTTATATAATTTTATTAGCTTGATTTATTTTTAGAAGATAAAAAAGATTAAGTCATTTCCAAATTCTTAGTTTAGTCCCATTATCTTTTCATTTTAGTTTTGATTTACTCCTTTCCTTTTTGTGTGTGATTAACTTTTTTATCCTTTTTGTTATAAAGTATTATTACAGGTATTTAAATGTATTCATCAAATGAATTTTGAGTTAAAGAATTCTTTTGTAATATTGCAATATTTTCAATTCCTGGTAAGAAGACTGTGCAGCTGTATCTTCGCTTACAACTCAATCTAATATTCTACCATGCAATATATTCTCAGTAAGTCTCCAGCTAGGTTTCAGAAGCCAAACTACTAGTTTGGGGTATGGAGTAAAGTCTCAAAAGAAGAAATGCTGTATTAACCATACTGAAACTTGCAAATGAAGCCATCTTCTGCCTCAGCAAGGTTTTTTTATGCTAGGATAGAAGTCAACACAGCCTGCAAGGTAGAAACTCAACAACTGTGGTAAACTGAAAGAGCTGCTGTCAGCTTGCCTTAGCTAGCAGAATTGACAACATGAGGCGAGTCTTGTTCCAAAAGCATGTCTTTTCTAAATTTACCATACATCATAGTTCCCAGGATGCATTATTGAATTAAAATTTTATTTGTACTGAATTTCTTAGCATAGTGTCTGGCACATAATAGGTGCTCAAAAATTATTTGTTGAATGAATGAATGTCATAATATGTAAGTGCTAAATTATATTTTCCTTTAGAAACTAAATGTGTTTGATCAATTGTAAATATGAGTACATGATAAATTGGCTTTGTGATAGAAAACAATCAAGAACTGAGGGCATCATTCATCTCAATTTAGCCCTCTCTGTGTTTTCCGTGTTATTTATATCTATACAGAGTGTCATATATAATAATAAAAAACGGTCCTTTTGAAGGAGAGATGTATCCAAGAAAAGAACTGTATGTTTTTAGGCTTCTTTTAGCAGGGATTAACAGAATCATATTTTAAGCTCGAATTTTACCAATAGTGAGTATCTCTAGATACTACTATTCTCATGAATTTGATTTAACTTAAATTTGTCATAGAACATAAATGGAATATATATTTATTTAAGAGCATATAGACAATATAGGAAAAATGTGAAGGTAATTAACAAATCTGCATAATTAGAACAGCAGAGAAAACATTGTCACTTTTTTTTTTCTAGAGGAAAGGTTTATTTTCGGGTGAGGGAAGCCTGATGGGTAGGGGGGACAGGCATAAGAGAGAGAGATCAAGAGAGAACAAGGCGACATTGTCACTTTTAATATTTTAGAGTGCATTTTTATTTTGAAAGTGAATATAGTTATCTTTGGGGTATTCACTTTACATTTTATAGGTGGTTGTTTGATTTTTAAAATCACCTAACTATTCCTTATTATTCTGTGCTTTTTAAAAAATAGTGAATACCATTATTGGGTCAATTGTATCTGTTTTATTGTGTCTTTAACAGGTCAGGAAAGTTTTGGAGGGAAGACTGGAAAAATCTTAAGTGATAGATGGGAGAGCCAGATGTGGAGAGACAAAAAGTATCATTTAATAGATCACCTGCATTACAGCCGTGTTTATCCTGAAAGTATTCCACGGAAATTTCTTTTTGAGCATAGGAATTTTCTTGCTCAGCAGTATAATTCTCAGCCTGCAAAATACATACCACCAGAAGAAAGACCCCCCAAACTTGAAGATTTTAAGAGCGCCCGAAGCCTTGGACATTTTGAAGTAACCATTCTAGGTAAGTCAATTATTCTTCTCTTTGAATAATATTAATTTAACGTACTTTAAACATATATACTAATTTTGCTTTAAAAAAAGTAAGCTCAATTGGAGCTGCTGTTTGACTGAAACTAGAGGAATAGAGCACTAATTTTGGAATAAATGGAGCTCAAATTATGGGCTTTTAAGCATTAACAAGTGCTTAGAAAGAATCTAGAGAAAGAAAAATAGAAACTAAGGGAACTTTCCTCACATCTGACCATCTGTCTACTAGACTTTTAAGACTGGTTCTGTTCTCCCTCAGCTACCACATTTTTACTCATATCCTCTACTTATTTCTCAGTGCATTGAAGGGTAAAGTATAATAAAAAAAGGGTGCTAATCAGGTGAATGACAGAAGGTCTGTTTACTCTTGAACAAAATAAAATCCTCAAGTAATTCAGGTTGAACTGAAAAAGGTTATTGAAAAGACTTCCCTTGTCTGATAATGGAAAATAAGCTAATTTTTACAGGTTGTTCAAAACTGAAAGGTAACTGTAGGGCATAGAAAAATATAAATGAATCAAAAAATTAAAGCTTACATTTATTTTTGTTTCTAATAAGTGAAAGATGTAGATGAAATAATTTTAAAATAAAATCTTAGGGTTGCACATTTGGCACAGCAGTTAAGATGCCACTGGAACAACTGCATCCCATATTGGAGTGCCTGGGTTTGAGTTCAGGCTGTGTTTCCAATTCCAGCTTCCTGCTAATGTGCATCCTGGGAGACAGCAGATGATGGCTCAAGTGGTTGTGTCCTCCCATCCATATGGAAGACCTGGATTGAGTTACAGGCTCCTCTCTTAAGCCTGGCTCAGCCTTGGCTATTGTGGCCATTTGGGGACTGAACCAATAGATGAAAGATCTCTCTCTCTCTCTCATTCTCTCTCTCTCTCCCCCCACCCCTTTCTCTGTGTGTGTGTCTCACAGCCTGTCAAATAAAATGAAAATAAATCAATTTTAAAAATTCCCTACCTCCTCACACAAAAATATGCATATACATGTGAATATATATATATATATAATCTGTGAAAAGTATCTATTTCCACTATGTTAGACAATCATGAACCAAAGTTTCAAAAGCTTTTCCTTCTAGTAAATTACTTTGTCTCTTCAAGTAGCTTATCAGCCTTAGTTTTTTATGTCTAGTAAACAAAGTTTATAGCATTATTTTACATATATCACAAAATGTAATCATGAAAATGATGGCTTCCTTAGACACAAAAATTTATTATTTTTCTTTCTTTTTACCTGGTACTGATCCACTGAAACAGACTGGCGAAGACATCTCAGCAGTCTTATATGTAATTGTAAACTTTTATAGCTTTGGCTATGAGTCAGCTAAAAGCAGAAATCAGATGTGAAGAAGGCAGATTTACCACTCTGTTCACTAGCTCTGAGAAGTTTACGCTGTTTTTATATACATTTTAGATCCTGTTTTCAAGGATGTTTTTCAGGATTAAATGACAGTCAAAAACAAGCTGTTTATGAATAAAACAACATTTTTTAAAAAGATTTATTTATTTATTTGAAAGGCAGAGTTACAGAGAGGCAGAGGCAGACAGAGAGAGGTCTTCCATCTGCTGATTCACTCCCCAGTTGGCCGCAAAATCTGGAGTTGTACTGATTTGGAGCAAGGAGCCAGGAGCTTCTTCCAGGTCTCCCACATGGGTGCAGGGGCCCAAGGACTTGGGCCATCTTCTACTGCTTTCCCAGGCCATAGCAGAGAGCTGGATCGGAAGTGGAGCAGCCGGATCTCAAACCGGCACCCATATGAGATGCGCACACTTTAGGCCTAGGTTTTACCAGCTACACCACAGCACCAGCCCTGAATAAAACAACATTTTAGAGGAAGCAGGAAAAGTAGATGTTACTAGGTGCTTGCAAATAACCAGATTACTACCATTTGGCAATAATTTTCTCTAAGCGTTCTGGCAGGAAGGGAGAAAGGGTGCTTTTTTTGTGGGATTTTGTTGATGCTGTTTTTCTGATGAGATATTCAATTTTAGAACTAAAAACATTGTGTATCATTTAGTCTTGCTCACTGGCTAGATAAAAGCCGGGGAAAGATTACAAATCAGTTCTCCTGAGACTCTAACCATATATTTTGTTGCAGAGAAAACATTCATATTCAGGAATCCTGTTGGCTTTTTTTTCCCTTTGAACAAAATTCTAGTCTGAAGTTACTATATGAGACTATTATAGAAATAACACAGAATAACAAAAGAGGTGATACCTTAAACTACAGTTTTCTTTTTTAGAGGTATGAACATACTCTTCAGATGATTGATTCCTGCTGCATCAACCCTGTAATGTACATAATCAATATAATCATTAGTTATGTCTTAGTAATGTGTTTCTATAAAGGATTATATTTTCACTGTAACTATCATATAATCCAAATACTCTAAGGGTTTAACTTAATATAGGGATAAAATATAGAGAATGAATGTAAATGGTGCTTGTTCAAGTGATTCTCATGCAACCTTGGCGGGATGGGGTAGCCTACAAAAATCTCCTTAGAGAGGCTACCCACACTCCTTGAACTTTAGGTACACATCAGTAGCCCATTAAGTCTCCTGCCCCTCATAAGGGATTCTTATTGCTACAGAGAGAGAGAGCCACTGGCAAGAATGCATCCTGTCAATTAAGCATGTAGTAGTAGAATAAAAGTGGAGAACTATTACTTTCTAAGTAGCATTCAAAGGTTAGATATTCTCTAATACTGAAAATGAGAACTGATTATCAAATGTTAAAGTGATAAATTTGACATCTTTTAGGAAAAATGAATCCAAGTAGTATTATAAGACCTAATAGTCTTATATTTTTTTTTTGCATTTTCTTTGTTTATTTGATAAGTCATAATGCCAAAAGAAAAAGGAGGTTAGTACAAAATGAATGAGTCCTTGGTCAACAATCCAAGCAGGTCACTGGGGAAAATGCCTCCTTTTCCTAAATGTTCACAAACTTCTTTGGAAATCTGTCTTAAGAGGCGAGAGGAAGGTGATATTTTATGTTAATCTCAATACAAATCCAATTTTGAAAGGCAGAAATTGAATGGGAAGGACATTTCAGGATGAATAACAGCATCAAGGTAGAATGAAGGAGCCTAGTTTGGAATTAACTAAGTTATTGCTTCTATATAAATTTTTAAAATTTATTTTTATGTATTTGAGAGTCAGGGAAACTTTTTTAAGCATGAACATGAACAGTGAACTCAGAAGAGAGGATTTAATCTCTTCCTAAGACATTGTTTGTTAAAAGATAGAATCTGAAAACTGAATGATGACTTTAAACATATACTGTGCAAGGTGGAAAGCTCATTTACTGTAAAAGGCCAAATTGCAAATGTTTAAGGCTTTACAGGCCATTTAATTTCTGTAGCAATTACTCAGCTTGCTGTTTTGGTATGAAAGCAGCCACAGACAGTATGTTAATGAATGTGCTGCATGGCTATGTTTGAATAAAAGTTTGTGCACACTGGAATTTGAGATTCATTATTTTTGCATATTATAAAATATTGTCCTTTTGACTTTTAGCTGTTTAAAAATGTAAAAGTCATTCTTACTTAATGGTATATACAAAAAACAAACAGGCTAGATTTGACTACCAGGTCATAGTTTTCTGACCTCTATTCTAGACCCCTGTTCTTGGATAAGACTGTCTAAACCAATCCAGGCTAGTAAATCTGTATAAAGTTTAAAGTTCTCCTAGCCCAAAGATTGTCTCACTTTGATACTATGTTCTAGTAGATTATTATCCCTTTGCAATATCTTGTTGCTCTCTAGAGGGCATAATAATTTTGAAGTGCCTTATTCTTGGAGCCACGAAGATTATTTGAACCATAACCTTATTACTTGGTCATTAGCTCTGACTGGTATGGGTGAGTCATTACTGAAAACATTGGAATAGAGTTATTAGCCTTCCCACAGTTCTAATGACTCTCAACAACCAGTTGGGTACCATCACAATATCAGAAATCTATCCCAAAAGTACTGGTTCTTATCTTAATATCCTTGTTACTCCATCTTGCTCACCTCAGATCAATCGATGTGAACCACTAAAACATCAGCCTGTTGCCTACAAAGAGAATATATTGAGATGAAGTAGCAAACCAAGTTTTCAGTACCTGTAAAAACTATCCCAGCTACAAAACTTAAAATCTCTTGGTCAGTCTCTCCCAATTTTGAGGATTATTTCTTACCTTAAATATAAGAAGATACTTTTCAAAAGCTTGATTGGACTTAATAGATTTTATCAGGATATATCACTGGCTCTCCTAACATTGATTTAATTACCCATGAAATCTTTTTAGTCAATCAGAGTTTAAGAATTCTCTCTTCAATTTGCATTTGATTTACACAATTAGAAACATAATCCAGCCAGCCTTTCATAATTCTCTGAAGGTCATCCATTGATCTTTTGGAGATCAAGAGCTATAAACCCCAATACAAGCATTAATTGTTGAGGGAGACAACAGTGAGGGGAGCCTAGTGCTACTCAGCTAATTGTTCAAGTGGACTTTCATCAAGGAAAGGGGCATTCCTTGAGAGTATGTGCAAATAATTTATCCTGACCCCACAAACGAATACCAAGAAAGGTAGAAATTCTGTTGGTCCCGTTTGCTTTAATAGGAGAAAAAGTCAAGATAAATTCAACCTTATTGTTTTACTTTATAGTTACCTTGAAATCGAAATTAATGCTATCAAAATATTATACTGTTATTTAAATATATTTTACAGCAAAAGCACCATTTGGTAAATTTTGTCAAAAATCTTTTGACAAAACATCTAGCAAAGATAGTTTAAATAACTCATTTACATCATAGCCATTGTTGTTGATATTTGTACAGGATTTTTGTGTTCATTGTTTGGCAGTGGGAATACAGTTGAATTTATATTTGAACATTAATGCACAAATATGATAAATTATGGGTAAATACAAAAATCTACATTTATTTAATCAATTTAGCAAATATTCACTGGGAATCTAATATACCTACCATTGTTCTACATGCTAGTTACATTAATGAACAAAGCAGATATAAGCACCACCCTAAAAGATCTTATAGAGAGATGGTGATAGTTAGGGGAAGAAAAGGGGTTGCAGAATGCTGCAGCTGGAAGCAGTTAAATTTTCAATACAGTCCTCAGTAGTCTCCCTAAAAAGGTAACATTTCACCGGAAACCAGATGGAGGTGCAAGGAGCATGCCATCTGGTAATCTGGGGGAAAAAAGATACAAGAACAGCTCGTACAGAAGCCCTGAGACCTGTTGCACTCTGAACACTAGTCTTAATCAAACAACTTAGAGCAAATTTTACTTGAAAATGTTGAAGCTAACCTCAATATTTTATAAGTTAGAAACAAGTCAAAATATTACCAATGGCATACTGTTAAAAATGTTAAGGTTTTTTAAGATGTTACTTTCTCTTTTATATTTGCAAACTAGAATATATCTGTGGTCAATGAGTACTTTAATGCAGCGTTTTCCTTTAAAAATGTTATTAAAAACGTGAAAAAATGTTCAATATCACTAGCCATCAGGGAAATGTGAATCAAGACCACATTGAGGTATCATCTTACCCCAGTTTGAACAGCTTTTACCAAAAAGACAAAAAATAACAAACACTAGTGACTTTGTGGAGAAAGGAACCCTAACACAGTGTTGGTAGGAATGCAATTTAGTATAGCCACTAGGGATAACAGTATTTGGATGTTCCTCAAAAAACTAACAAATAGAACCACATGACCCAATATAATATTGCATCAGCATATGAAAAAGATACCTGCATTTCTGTATTCATTGCTGCATTATTCACGCTAGCCAAAATAGGGAATCAACTTAGGTTTCATCAATGGATGAATGAATAAAAAAGAAAGCTATCTAGATTACACAATGGAGTATTATTCAGCCAACAAAAAGAATGAAATGGGGATATTTGCAACAAAATGGATGGAGTTGGAGATCATTATGTTAAGTGAAATAAGCCATTCTCACAAAGACAAATATCACATTTTTTCTCATATGTGGAAATTTATACATACACACATATAGTTGATATGAATCTAAAATAGTAATTACTAGATGCTAGTGATAGGGACTCCAGAGACCCCTGGAAAGGAAAGAAAAACAGCAAAGAAACACAAGATGTAACTCTTCAGGAGCCCTGAGGGAGGGGAAGACTGGAGAAGGGGCAAACCTATGCAAGGTAATCTGCAGCTGTTGAGTCTCCAAACAGACCTGATTGTGAACTCTGAACATTTTTCTGCAAAATAGGCTACTCCAATATAAGTTCTCTGATTTGTTCACATAACATGCCTCATTACCACACACATCGACCAATTAGGGAGAGCTTCCTGCTTTAGAAATGCGTAAAAGTCCAAGCCAGGCATCTTTGAGAGGCAGTCCTCCAGGGCAGCTAGCCCTTCCGGGCAGGCCGTTCCCACTGCCAGAGAGTTTTGCTCATTCTTCATGGTCAAGTGATGGAGAACCCAGCACAGAAGAGAAGCAGCAACCCAGAAGGCAGTCTAAGACCTCGATGGAGCCAACAGAGAAGAACCTGACAGAAAGGCAAGGCTGTGACCAGCACAGAGACAGCTGCAGTGCAGAGAGCTGTAATATGAAGAGCTGTAGCGTGAGAGCTGTACGGCTCCTGAAGAATTCGCCAAAAGAATCCGCCACATCTCTCCAACACAAGGCACAGACCTGAGTGACTAGAGCCATAGACTCCTGCCACTGCCCCTGTAACACCAACTGCAAAACTCCCACACCATGTTTGGGGGCTCACCTGTCATTGCTGGAGGTCTGACATAGTAGCTAGAATAACGACCAAGTATTAGTAACACTTGCCTGCGGATTGGTCGTTATTCTAGCCTCCAGATTGGTTAAATCTGTACTCACTTTTCAGAAAAGGGCCAGGGAAAGAACTACTCTGTGGATAAAAGAGCCAACACTGGCAAGGTTCTTTGGCAACTCTTCCCTTGGAGTCCTCATCCTGACTGCTCTAGCAGGTTTCTCACTTTCAATAAATCTTGCTTTGCCCACTGTCCCTGTCCACATTGAAATTCTTTGACATAAAACAGGAACCTAGATAACCTTCATCGTCCCACAACACTAGGAGGGGCGTGAGATGGGGAGATATGATTTTGTGTACTAAAGCGCACTCAGGTAAAGGCAATGGTTTCTGATGTTCCACAAAACAGTAGTATAGCTATGGTCCGAGGTAACGAAAGTGGAAGAGCTAATTGCCTGACATGATTGCTTTATACTTTGTACATCTGTTGAAATATTATACTATACCCCATAAAATGTACAAGTATTTCATGTTAATCCAAAATTTAAGAAAAAAATTAGGGGCCGACACTGTAGTGCAGTGGGTTAGCCACGGCCTTTAGCACCAGCATCGCATATGGGTGCCAGTTCAAGTCCTGGCTGTTCCACTTCTGATCCAGCTCCCTGCTGATGCGCCTGGAAAATCAGTAGAAGATGGCTAAGACCTTGGGCCCCTGCATCCATGTGGGAGACCCAGATGAAGCTCCTGACTCCTGGCTCTGGCCATTGTGGCCATCTGGGGAGTGAATCAGCACATGAAAGTAATCTCTCTCTCTCTCTCTCTCTCTCTCTCTCTTTCTCTCTTTCTCTTTCTCTCTCTCTCTCCCCCCTCCCTCTCTCCCTCTGTGTGTGTGTCTCACCCTCTCTAGCTGTACTTTGCCTTTCAAATCAATAAATAAATCTTTAAATAAAGTAATCTTTATTAATCTACCATACAACTAAGGGTCAGGTAAAATTTTCTAAGATTTACTAAAATTTGGCATTCAAATTATATCATTATCTAGGATTTAAAGGGTTCTGATTCAGGAGTATAGGAAGTATAGCCACTTAACTCAGCATTGCTGCAAAACTTCTGTGAATGTGAACATGCTAGTAGCTTATTTCCTTGATTTTTAAAAAGATTTATTTATGGGGATGGTGCTGTGGCATTAGCAGGTAAAGCCTTTGATTGCAGTGTTGGCATCCCATAAGGGCAGTTCAAGACTCGGCTGCTCCACTTCCAGTCCAGCTCCCTGCTAAAGTGCCTGGGAAAGCAGTGGAAATGGCACAAGTACTTGGGCCCTTGCACCCATGTGGGAGACCTGGCTCCTGGCTTCAGATCGGCCCAGCTCTGGCCATTGCAACTATTTGGGGAGTGAACAAGCAGATACAAGATTTCTCTCTATCTCTGCCTCTGCCTCTCTGTAACTCTTATTTATTTTAAAGCTATGGGGTTTAGTGTCATTTGCTCATAAAAAGCAAAGAATATATTTCTAGATCAGTTTGCAGCTTACCAAGAAGGACTTTGTTTACCAATCAATGGCCCATACTGAGTACTTAAGAATAGCTGTAAAAGATTAGTGGGAGAAAATATTTAGGTCATAGAAGCCAAGTGACTAAATATCTGGGAAGAGTGAAAGGAAGGAGTAAAGGAAAACTCCAGAATTTCTAGTTGGGGTGACTAGGTGAAATTCATAGTTTTAAGGCTGTTCTCTGTGTGTCTGTTTGCCTTTGCCCCAGCCAACCTGATCTCCTTACTCCAGACTATACCTTTGGTTTGTGCTATCCCTTGCCTTACCTGCAATGCCTTCTTCTCTGTTTATATAAAAGCCACTCATCCTTTAGTACCCAGCTCAAATCCTTGTCTTTCTCTAGGAAATCTTTTGTCCACTCTAACATTGTTCCAAATAAAGAAATGACAGCCAAAGGTTCATGATTGACTTTGGTTGTTCCCCCCTTAGCCCTTGGTCTACTACAACCTTTTGAGTGTGTGAAGCCTGTCTTATATATTTGAGAACAGATGAGACCTAGTTGCTACCATACCTGACCTTGCTTGAGTCAGATATACTTAAGTCAGAGTAGCAATAACGGAACCAGTAGCCAATTCTGAATTCTATCCCGTAATGGCACCTGTCATGAATGACCCAGGAAACACTGTTAGGTGTCTCCATTTCATGACCAGGTTGGATAGTAAGATTTTGATATTTGCATTATTATAGAAAACATTTTAAATGCTATTTCTAGCAGTGGTGGCAGATTCCACTGAATCTATCAACTAGCCTATATTTCTAAGTTGCTGGCAAAGCTAAGAGTTTAGTCCCCAGTTTTGAAACACGAGTTTTTCCAGATCTGAAACTATTTAGTGTATGTTAGGATCAAAACAACAAAATTGGCCCTGTGAGCACCATATATTAACCCACTGAACTTTGAATGACGTGATTTTTCTCCAACAGGTTTAAACCATGACATTGCAATTGATGTCGCATTCCTACCCATGTATTCTCCAGAAGATGTCCGAACCTCTCAAATAGACACGTTGTTAACTTGCATGAATTACAGCTGTGTATATCCACAGGAGGTAACTGACAGTGACCAATCGCCAGATCCAAAAGCCCTTGCAGGTGAGATCATCTCGGAGTTCTTTTCATTCAGAAAAAAATTTATAATAAGCAATCATCACCTTCAGATGTTACTATGTAAACTCTTCTAGTTTTAAATTTAGTGTCAGTCAATTAAAGGATTACTTGGCGAATGTACCCGAGGACTTCTTGAGAATATGTCTTTTAAATAAATTAAAGTTTGTTTCTGTTCCAGGCAGTCATTGAAAATAGTCTCTTAAAACACAATTCTAAAAGTCATTATTTCATCAGAACTACGTAGATGCACATGGAACAGTGCAGATTCTACTATTTTTTCCTTCTATCTCAGGCGAAACAATTTATCTTTTCCCCCTTAAGATGGCCTGGAATTATAATACCTCCAGAATATAATACAGTACAGTTGTTTTCTCTTGAAAATGTTTAGTTATTCAAGTGATATTCAGTAAATTCCTTGAGTACTGCTAGGAGTGTATGCAATCCTGATGGTGAGATGCTTCAGACAACTGATTATGTAGGCTGCTGCTTAATATAACCAAACTTTAAATTATATCTGTATACCTTTAAAACTGTCGATCCAATTTAATTAGCCTATTCACTTTATATTGCCATTTCTATTACCTAAACATGTGGTAAAGTTTCTAGTAATTTTCATTGAGCCAATCAGGATGTTACATTTAAAAGAGCTTTTAAGAAAAAAAAAGTTATTATCTTGGGATTGTGTGGTGAGTTGTTCTAAGCTGATGAAGCTCTTGAGTGTATTTTTTTTAATGAATCTTATGAGCTTTGCCTGATGATGAAGTAACTTTTGGCAGCAATGGTTGCTGCAAATTAGATGTTTGAGTATCTAGTTGTATAATATATGAGGTTTTTAAAAATTTTTCCTACAGTCCATTTTAGAGATGACATATTAGTTGACATAGAAAGTATTACTTGCTACATTGTCACTCCTTAGACTTGAAGTAATTGCGAATTTTTAAAGTAGTGCCCTTATGTGTGTTTTAAGTATTTCTGTACTCATATTCTTGATTCATATAATATTCACTTTTGTCGCATCTTCTGCCATGTGTATGTTCTATAAATACAAGTTCAAACTTCTCAGCTATCTGCTTGTTGCTTGTACCAATCAGTATTCTTCTCATAGTCACTAACATGGTCACATGAAAATACTTGATACCCTACTACCAAAGCAGGTAACATTAAGGAAATGAAATAGAAGAATAACTAGAGAAGAAAAATTAAGTGTTAATCAAAAGTAAAGTGATTCATTTTCAGAGGCATATCATGTTTTTCATGACAGGGCAATAACAACAATAATAATAGTATCCATTTAATTCTGTGCCTGAGCATTTGATGAAAGTTACAAATCATCCCAAGAGGAACCTTGAGAGATGAAAATTATCTCATATTTATAGATAACTAAACTGGAAATGGGAGAAATTCACTAGCATTGAGTAACAGAGCTGGAATTTGAACTCAGATGTGTCTGATTCCAAATTTTTCCATTCCTTTCCTGAGTCCAAACTGAAAGATAAACTTAGTAGTAGAGTAATATAATGCAGTGGCTCATGATATAACACTGGTGTACTCTTTCAAACATTTTTTATAATTTAAACACTCACATGGTACAGAAAAGTACTGGATAAAGGTCTCCTTATCTGAGCAGATCCATCCTCTTCCACCAACCCGCTCACCCACTCTCTCGAGATAACCAGTATTATTTGCATTCTTTAAGAAGAAATTATTTTTGCATTTAGCAGTATATATTCTGCCTCTCTTTTTCTCTCTTTATGAAACACACACAAATGGATCCCAGAAATAGGCATAAATATAAATATGCAGTTCCATAATCAGTTTTTCCCTTTGACAGTGTGTCTTGGATATCTTTCAATTTATATATAGAGAGCTCCAGCAGTTTCTCTAACTACAAAGTATTCCACTGTGTGATTGTACCAAAAGTTACTTAATCAGTCCCCTACTGATGGACATTTAACATTGTTTCCAAATGTTTTGACTGTTAACAGTATTGCAATGAGTACCATATATGTATATATGCCACTTTACTCACACTGTTGTAAGCACAAGGTATTGTTGATCTTATCAATTTGGCCATTTATATAAGTTTTCTTTATATGGACTTTCTATCCTAGCTTTATTTTCTTCCTTTTTCTTATCAATTTGTAAGTTATTTTTGCATATCAAAGAACTTAACCCTTTATTGTGTATTACAAGTATTTTTATCCTGTTTGACATTTATTCAATGAAAGGTTTAGTATTTTAAACAGTTTTATTAACTCATATATATCAGTCTTAGTTTGTGGTTGCTGGTTTTATGCCATACTGGGAAAGACATCATCCAGTTCAAGACTTTTTTTTATTTGCTAGTTTTTTCTGATACTTTTATTTATTCATGATTTATATATTTTTATTGTGATAAAGTATACATAGCATAAAATTTACTTTTCAAACCATTTTAAATTTTCTATTCAGCAGTTTTACAGACATTCACCATATTGCAACCATCACCACTATTTCTGGACCATTTTCATCATCCCAAACAGAAACTGTATCTCTTAAATGGTAATCCCCTATAACTGCTATGCTACTTCCTGTCTCTATGAATTTGCCTATTTTTATATTTTATGCAATAGAATTATACAATATCTGCCATTTTGTGTCTGCCTTACTTCACTTAGCATACCATTTTCAAGGTTCACTCTTGTTATAATACATATATCAGAATTTCATTCCTTTTATGGCTGAATAATATTCCATTATATGTATATAACACATTTTGTTTATCTACTCATCTGTTAATGGGCATTTAGTTTGTTACTATATTTTGGGCTATTGTGAATAATTTTTCTATGAACATTGGAGTATAGGTGTCTGTCGGAGTCTGCTTTCAGTTCTTTTGTATATACCTAGGAGTGGAATTGCTGCATCATATGTCATTCTTCATTTAACTTTTTAAAAAATGCATTTATTCATTTTATTTAATTGAGAGAGACATACACACATGCATGCACACAGAAAGAGAGAGAGAGAGAGACAGACAGAGAGATAGAGAGAGCTCCAGTCCACTGGTTCACTGCCCAAATGACTACAACATCCAAGGCTGGGCCAAGCCAAAACCAGGAGCCAGGAACTCATAGCATGAGTGGCAGGGACCTAAGTACTTGAGCCACTACCTGCTGCCTCCCAGAGTGTACAATAACAAGAAGCTGGATTTGGGAGCAGGGCTGGAACTCAAATCCATACATCCTGATATGCGATGTGGGCATCCCAAGAAGCATCTTAACCACTAGGCTAAATGTCCATCCATGTGTTTAACTTTTTTCAGGAACTACCAAACTGTTTTCCATGGTAGCTGTACTATTTTACTTTCATACCAGCAATTCATGAGGATTCTGGTTTCTCCACATCCTCACCATTAAATTTTCTAGTGTTTTTTTTTTTTTAAGATTTATTTATTTATTTGAAAGGCAGCATTACAGAGAGGCAGAAGCAGAGAAAGAAAGAGAGGTCTTTCATCCACTGGTTCACTCCCCAAATGGCCACAATGACTGCAGCTGGGCCAGTCCGAAGCCAGGAGCCAGGAGCTTCTTCCGGGTCTCCCACATGGGTGCAGGGGCCCAAGAACTTGGGCCATCCTCTACTGCTTTCCCAGGCCATAGCAGAGAGCTGGATCAGAAATGGAGCAATCTACGCCCATCTAGAATGCTGGCACTACAGGCAGCATCTTTACCTCCTATGCCACAGAACAGGCCCCTGTTTTTTTTTGTTTGTTTTTTAAAGAGCCATCCTAACAAGTGTGAAGTGGTGGTTCATTGTGATTTTGATTTACATATCCATAATTACAAATGATGCTGAGCATCTTTTCTTGTGCTTATTGGACATTTGCATATCTTTGGAAAATTATCTGGTCTTTTGCCTATTTTTTTAAGTGACTTGGGACGTGCTGATATGGCTTCAATTGAATTCATTTGTAATTTATTTTTGTGTAGTGAGTGAGATAGGGATCCAGTTTTATATTTTCTCCAGGTAGCCACTTACTTCAAATCATTTATTGTTGCGGTTGATTTCTTCTGGGAGCAGGAGCATGGTGGGGGCAAGAGGCGCAAAGTCACCACACAGACCCCAGGCAAGCAGCTTGCAGACTCGTTTATTTCAGTTGCTACAGCAGCTTATATAGCCAAGGCAGCCAATCCAGTCAAGGGGCGGTCTATGCCCTAACCAATCACACCCTGTTGCCAGGCAGTTTCTAAAGCCATCCAATCACAGCCTGTTGCCAGGTAGTTTCTGTTGCCAGCAGCCATCTTGGCATGGCCTTCTCATTCCACCACAATTTATTGAATAATACATACTGATACAATGCCCTACTTCATCATTTTAATTCAGAAGTACAAGGACATACATGCCTTCTACCTCCTTGAAAGTATTTGGTTAAATAATTAAGAAAACAGTTTTATTATTTTCTAGGTAATCAGGACTTCACATATTATTTTCAGAGCAGGGAATACCACACTGTATTACAATCTAGGTTAGACTAGGCTGGAGACACAAAGGAACTCTAAAGTCACAGAGACTTAATAAAAATTTCTTGCTCAAGTCTACAGCAGTAAGTCATCGACTCTCTTCCCAGCAATGATTCTAGAATCCACCTCCTTCCGTCTTGTTGCTGCCCTGGCAGAAACAAATGGCTGCTAGAGTTGTCAAGGCAGAGGAAGAAAGAGATGAAGGACACAGTGGCTTTAGTTACACTAGACCATAAGTAACAGGTCACTTCCCCTTGCATTCTCAATTGTCAGAAGTCAGCTACTAGATCCTAACCTGGCCATAAGGGAGACCAGGGCACTTTGTCTTTCCCTGTAACCATGAAGGGGAAATGGAGTGAGAACAGATAGCAATATCTTTGTCTTATCCATTTGTGATGTTTCTTTTTTTAATTTCTTTTTATTTTTGAAATAATGTATTTTTAATTTACATTATAGTCAAAGGCTTAATGCTCCACTAAATAAAAGATTCAACAAAATAAAAAGACCTTACTTTAACAGGAATATAGGCAAGGGCTTTAAATAATAATAAAATTAAAAATGTCCATTTTGCTCATCTACAGTAAGTTTTAAAATAGTCACAGTTCATTAAAACTATAGTACTGTATCATTCTTAACAATTTGACTGACAAAGATTTAAAAAAAGTTTGACAAAACCATATTTCAGCAAAGCTGATATAGGCATGTCTTAAAATGTACAATATTTATTATACTAACAATTTAAAATGAAATGTACAGAAGCTGTTTATAGGTAAAATCTGTAGTCTTTTTAAAAATATTTATTTAAGAGTCAGAGAAAGACAGAGCTTCCATCATCTGTTTCACTCCCTACATGTCTGCAGTGACCAGAGCTGGGCTAAGCCAAAGCCTAGAGCTAGGAATACAACCTGGGTCTCCCACAAAGGTTTCAGGGACCCAATTACTTGAGCAGTAACATGATGCATGTTAGAGTCTGCATTAAAAGGATGCTAGAATTGGGATCCAATCTGAGACTAACCCAGGCACTCCGATGTGGGACATGGGCATCCTAACTGGTATCTTAACTATCGGGCCAAATGCCTACCCCATTTTCTTGTCTTTAAAGAATTTATTGTGTAGGGCCAACATTGTGGCAAAGCAGGTAAAGCTGCTGCCTGTGATGCATGCATCCTATATGGGCATGAGTTTGTGTCCCAGCTACTCCAATTCCAGTCCAGTTCCCTGCTAATGGCCTGGAAAAAGCAGCAGAAGAGTCCGCATCTCCCTCTGTGTAACTCTGATTTTCAAATAAATAAATAATCCTTTTAAAAAAAGAATTTCTGTAATGAAAATAATGTAATTTCATTACATTAAAATAATTAATTTAATTAGTAAGTAATTAAAATAATGTAATAATGTAATTTATAATAGGTTTGATTTAAGTAAAAAATTATTACTGCCAATATTTGAGTTCTTGCTCTAAGCCATCTGCCATTCTAAGTGCCTTACATGCATTTAATTCACAAAACACCCTATGATGTAGGAAATAGATAAGCATACTAAAACATAAAGAAGTACCCAAGTATTACACAACTGGAATAATCATCTAAAGAGAAGAGTTATTTATATTTTATGTTAAGGGTCGTATATAAGTCCTTATCTGTAAAGGTCAATATATGGTAGCAATTATTAAGGTTTGAGTTGCTGCTTGTAGCATCAGATCTGAAGATCCTGAAATCTTCCCAATACATCTGGATTAAAATCCATCCCATTCAAAAAAGAAAAAAAATAGTACCAGCAAGTTTTTGTAATATCCATTGTCCTTTATTGAACTTGCAGAATTTTAAATTATTCATTGGGTTTTTGATTTATCTAGCAAAGGTGTAATTACAGTGAATCTCATGAAGTCTAAGCTTGCATAGGTCCCTTCCAAGGCCCATTTGGTATCTTATATGTTTTGTATTTTATTCCTAAAAAAGGCCCTGTTCAGGCCCCACAAAATCCAGACACATGCTTGGACTATAGAACAATTTTGTAGAAAAGTAATTCTAGCATAAAAGATTAAAATCATATGCCATGAAGTCATACTATCTGGATTAAAATCAAATGTGACTTTACTTAACAAATCTGAGTGTTAGTTTCTTCATATTTAAAATAAAGTTTGTATTGTATGTAGCCATTGAAGTCTGTGTATGATCTGTTAGCTGAGTAGTAGCTAGCTAATCTTCTGAAAGAGTTTCCTTAAATGCTTAGATCCAAGAAAAGGAAAAAAGAAAAGAAAAAAACATGCTTCTAGTTTTTCAGATTGACCCTATGTGTTGTGGTACTCCTTCAACACTTAGCCAGGCTTTTTTTCTTATAACTCTGCCTTAGCTCTCCCTTCTTACTTGTTCAAAACCTGAAGATCAAATAGAGGTAAATTATTAGGATAGCTGCTCAGGCCTTTTCTGAGCATTTGTCCAAATCTGTATATAAGCTCTTTTTGAGTTCCCAGTGTACACAGAAGCTTTGAAATGCCCTTATTTACCCACATCTATTTTCCCAATTGCTTCTTCCCTGGGTGTTTTCGTCTGGTTATTGCTTGCCCCAACTTTATATCCCACCACCTGCACTGGTCAATACTTTTACCTTTATGTGCTTTCAATGAACGCCACTCTATCTGTGGGAATGTTCCAAACTGGGTGAAACAAAAGCAATCCCTTGCTTCTGTCCTTGAGGGAGCTGACAAATGGGTCAAAACACACAACCAAATTTTGAGAATAAAGTCTGCATTGCTCCCTTTGGTAGGAGTGCAAGCTGCCATCATCATGAATGAGGAGTGGTAGGCAGGCTGTTTAAAGGATCATAGCACACTCTGACCGCTGTGCTGCAGTTTCTTTATTCACTTATCTTGTCCTTGTTGTTCTTAGTCTTTCTTTAAATTACAGAGTTCTAAAAATTTAGATTCTGAGAGTTTTTGCGAACTTATACAATGCTTTTTAGAGAGACAGATCCCTACCCTGCTATTTTCGGTAATGTCACTCACCTTGATAAAGCTGCTTAAGAGTTTGTGTAGCTAAGTTAATAAAGCCACTTCAAAGGGAGCTACAAAAGCTTATGGAATTCATATAATCTTTTAATTCCATTGGCCCATGAACTTTCTGAAGCTCCCTCATATATGTGATTAAAATATATAGGGTAAGTAATTCTTGTTTTGCTGTATGGACTACAGATTTTGAAAAGTTGATACTTGAGTTTCAAAATCAGAAAGTTGGTCTTTGCACTTCTTTGAAATCTAACAATCAAATGTTATTTGGAACTTTATAAATAATCTTGAGAATATAAATATATATATAAATATTTACTTTGCAACATTAAAAACTGCACTGAAACAATATATGTCTTTAGAGTACCAGTCCGTGTCTTAACATTATGGGTAGCATCTTTTTGAGGTGTTCATGTCTATCTGCAGAAGTTAGTATATTATAACTTTGATAAACGGTTAAGATGAATTGGAGGAAAGAGGGAGAAGATGAGGGACAATGTTAACATTGCAAGTAAAAAATCATCACCTTATGTGATTCTAAAGCCAAGTAAATATTTAACTATTTTACAATACTTACCATCTGCTTTTTACTTTTAGGTGATATTATAAAAGCAGTAACTGAACTGGATAGAGTACATATCGTCGGTATCTTGGATATCTGTAATTTGGGTAACAATAAAGTAGAAATCTATTTGCAGAAAATTTATATTCCAGAGAATATGCCTTAAGAATTGACAAATGAAATTATTACAGATATAAAGAAAATACTGCTTTAAAGATATTCTATCATTTTGTTGGTGATTTCAGTGACTGTTTTTAGCAAGAATAGAACATGAGATCTAAATTTAAGTGGTTTTATGTTTGTTTTGTGTTTGGATTTATCACACAACGTTTTAGAGTCGTTATTGAAAAAGGTCGTCAGAACAAGTTACATACATCAAGAAAATTTACCTTACTTCTGTATTACCATTACCTTGAACTTGTAATAATTTGTTTAATGTTCTGTTTGTGAAGAACACTTTTGTTCTAAAGCCTCATTATGTAAGTCATCCTGACTTACAAGAGTAAATTTCCATGGAGATTTAATATCATTCCAGTTTTATTCACTCCTAATGGGAAATTTTGAATTGTCAATTTGAAGACTAAATTTTCCTTAAGTGGCCAATCTGCATTTCTCACAACCAAAGTAGCTCCTGTAATTTTCAAAAGCTTACATGGGTTGTTTTGTGTTAATTTGGTCAGCTATAAAATAAATGTGGAGAATCACATTGCCTTAAGGTTATTTCACTGCATATTGCGACTTCATATACTTTGGGTTTCTAAATATTTTGATCATTATGTAAAATCAGAGGCTGCTGTATGTCTCTATTCTTGCTGTATTCATTTCTGGTTTCAGTATATGTAATGTAAGTTTTAAATAAGTGAAATTTTATCACATATTAACATTTTAAGTGCTCGTATTGCAGATAGGAAACAGTAACTAAGGGGATAGATTTTGTACTGGTAATCTATTGTACTTCATTTGAAATGTAAATGGCCACTCCACATTTGCAAGACCCTGTGGTTGACATCTATGCGGTTTCTTAGATGAGCCAAATTGGCCATTAAATGAGATTAAAGACTATTTTGTGTCAAGATAAATCTGATTATAGCTAAGCTATTAACTTGTGGGATTTCCCTGTAGTTCTGTTGTTCTGTGACTTCATATGCTATACATTTAAAATGTGCTCAACAGCCTGCAAACCTAAAGGCATACTTCAATTTCTTCTTAAATGTGTTTGTTTTATTCTTTGTAACTGCGCTTAAACATTAATTGAAATAGTGGATTGTTCTCATTACAATTTTGAGTGTTATTAAAGAAGTTAAAATGCAATAATGTTTTGGTCTCCAGTCTTATTTTTAATATATTTGATGTATTGTGTGTTTCCTCCATATTTGGGGGCTATATACGTACTTGCTAAATGAGCCAAGATGATTCTTCCATATGGGTTTGAAGACTGTTGTTTATGAAACGGAATCTGGGTTTGGTGTTAAGCTATTATAACTTTTAAAAGGCAATTTAATTTTAGTGCTGCATAAATGTTAGAAGAGGAAAAGTCTTAAATAGCTGTTGACTAAAAACCTTCTGACAAAGATTTCAGAACTACATGAATCTAATTTCTGTTCTCACATTACATGAGAATAAGAACTACTTTAAAATTTCAGGAGTTTTATTAACAGCTTCCCTGACAGTTTATTTTATGTTCTGGTAATGTTTCTGTCCAATTTGGAGTTAAACACCTGTGCCCATATTTCTGGTTGTTGAAAAACTAGGTAGCTACTATGGTAGTATTGTAAGAAAAATAGCAAATTGTCAGAAGAATCTATCTTCAAGTTGTAATACATATTCATTAATTACAAAGCAACACAAATATGCTACTGTGATGCCACCTTCAGATTAACAAAACAGTTAATAAAATGTGAACTATGTCGTCTCCTAGAGAACCACAATCTCTCACTGAAGCGTCTGATTCTGACTGGTACATGGGATGGGCCCATTGAAGTCTTTTGGAGACTGTTAAAGAATGAATGGAAGCACATGCTCCAACTTCCAAACACTCTTAATTCCTTGTTGGAACTACCTTGCATTCATTCCATTCCTATTAAGAAGAGTATTTTTCAGAAATTTGAAATACTTATTTGGAGACACTAACAATATTGTTTTATATGAACTGCAAACTCTAATTCTCATTTTTCTAAATTCATGAGTATGACATAATAGAGCCACTTGCTGTTTCACTGGTGACATTTCAGGTGCTATTAATTTTTCTTTTATTAAGATTTGATACCCACGAATTTCTTAGTAAATTGATGGAAGGTGAATTGTACATTAACCAGTCCTTCTTGTTTCAGTAATCAACTACTTTTAGTAAATCAAGTTTAGAATAAAAAAGTGTTTTAAAACTAGGTAAGGTACGATTTGGGAATTATGTGTCGTTTTCAGATATTTGAGATTTGGGATTTTTTTAAACATTTATTTATTTTTTTGAAGGGCAGAGTTTCAGAGAGAGAGACAGAGAGACACAGAAAGATATTTTCCATCCACTAGTCTACTCCCCAAATGGCTACAATAGTCAGGGCTGGGCCAGGCTGGAGCCAAAAGCCTCCTCCTGGTCTCCCATGTGGGTGCAGGGGCCCAAGCACTTGGGTCATCTTTTTTTTTTAAGATTTATTTATTTATTTGTTTGAAAGGCAGAGCTACAGAGAGAGAGAGACAGAGAGAGAGAGACAAAGAGAGAGAGAGAGAAGTAGGTCTTCCATCCTCTGGTTCACTCTCCAATTGGCCGCAACAGCCAGAGCTGCGCCGATCAGAAGCCAGGAGCCGAGCTTCTTCCAAGTCTCCCACCTGGGTGCAGGGGCCCAAGAATTTGGGCCATCTTCTGCTTTCCCAGGCCACTAGCAGGGAGCTGGATCAGAAGTGGAGCAGCCGGGACTTGAACTGGTGCCCATATGGGATGCCAACACTGCAGGCGGCAGCTTTACCCACTGTGCCACAGTGCCAGCCCTTGGGTCATCTTTTGCTGCTTTTCTCAGGCACATTAGTAGGGAACTGGATCAGAAGTGGAGCAATCAGGACATGAACCCATACTCATGTGGGATGCCAGCATCACTGACAGCAACTTAAACTGCTAAGCCACAGCACAGGCCCAGGAGTTTGTTTGAGTTGATGGAAGTCTCCAAAATGGAAACACTAGATACTAAAAACACTTTTTTTCCTTTTTTTTGTGAAAGAAACAATCCATATAATAACCAGGAAAGGAAAGAACAATAACAAAAGTGACAAAAACCAGCATCAATGTCAGGACTTCATTTGACAGTGTATCAACATTACAGGTAGTTGTCAGCAGCTTTATTACCTGAGACTTGTTAAAAGTGAAAATTCTCAGGCCCACCCAAGATCTATTGAATCAGAAACTCTCTCAGATACAGCCCAGTCATCTAGTTTTAACAAGACCTGGAGGAAATTACAAGGTATAGTCAAGTTGACAACAATATCAAAAATACATCATGTTTTTATTGTGATATAAATACATTTAGAGGACAAGCAAGGACAAGTGCAGCAGCAGAAATCTTATTTTTCATTCTTCAATACATATATTCTTCTTTTATTGTTTTGTAATTGTTTCAACCAATTTTTATTTACAGAATATAAATCTCTTAAAGGTACATTCCTTCATTTAGTCAGTGGTAAAAAGCCTTATTAAACAGAAACAAAACCTAAACATCATCATTTATATTTTAACAAAGATACAGATCATTAAAAGTGTGTGAACATAGAATATAAGATGTAGGTTTCACTTAAGCAGTTACTTGAATGAGACTGTTTTTAAGTTTCTTCACTGACAACCCCATTTTAACCATTGAACAAATTGTACTTAAATTTTTTTTTAACTTTTATTTAATGAATATAAATTTCCAAAGTACAGCTTATGGATTACAATGGCTTCCCCCCCATACCATCCCTCCCACCCACAACCCTCCCCTTTCCCACTCCCTCTCCCCTTCCGTTCACATCAAGATTCATTTTCGATTATCTTAATATACAGAAGATCAGCTTAGTATACATTAAGTAAGGATTTCAACAGTTTGCTCCCACACAGAAACATAAAGTGAAAAATAATAGATGATTTTTTTAAATGATGATGAAATCAGATCAGACCTATTGTCATGTTTAATCCCAGTGAGAGTCAAGTTGGGAATTGATAATTTCTTTTTTTTTTTTTTACAGTTTAGTATGCATTAAGTAAAGATTTCAACAGTTTGCACCCCCATAGAAACACAAAGTGAAATATACTGTTTGAGTACTCGTTATAGCATTAAATCTCAATGTACAGCACATTAAGGACAGAGATCCTACATGAGGAGTAAGTGCACAGTGACTCCTGTTGTTGACTTTACCAATTGACACTCCTGTTTATGGCATCAGTAATCTCCCTATGCTCTAGTCATGAGTTTCCAAGGCTATGGAAGCCCTCTGAGTTCTCCGACTCTTATCTTGTTTAGACAAGTTCATAGTCAAAGTGGAGGTTCTCTCCTCCCTTCAGAGAAAGGTACCTCCTTCTTTGAAGACCTGTTCTTTCCACTGGGATCTCACTCACAGAGATCTTTTTGCCAGAGTGTCTTGGCTTTCCATGCCTGAAATAGTCTCATGGGCTTTTCAGCCAGATCGGAATGCCTTTAGGACTGATTCTGAGGCCAGAGCAGCAGCAGAAATCTTGATATCTTTTATCCTGATTAGATGTCAATAGATTAAAAGCTAAAATTCTATATCATTGGATTCATTATTTTAAGGTGTATTTTTCTTTTTTTCCTTTGATATATTTTTCGTTTAAGTTATACAAGTTTCGTGTATTTCCTTGATACCATTATAGGAACATAGTAGCACTTCCCCCCACCTTCCCTCCCACCCACATCCTGATCCTTCCTCCCCTCCCTCTCATATTCCCACTCTTAATTTTTACAATGATCTTTTTTTAGTACACTTAATGCTCATATAGTTAATGCTATCCTAAGTAAAAGAGTTGAACAAATAGTATGTAGAGAAAACAAAACAAAGCAAAACAAAATACAGTTCCTCAACAAAAGTGACAAGGGCTATAAACCAACATTGATTATCAAAATGTCTCTTTCACTTTAATGCATTTTATTTCAGGTACTCTATTCATTACCTCTGATCAGAGAAAACATGATATCTATCCTAAAAACATTTTTTTCTTCCTCCAGTTCACATCAATTGCTATATTGTCCCTCATTATTATATTGTCATACTGATATCACTTCTAGCTCTAAATTTTTGCTTTCTTTTATGCTAATAAAATATCCATAGGGGCCGGTGCCGTGGCGCAGGAGGTTAATCCTCTGCCTGTGGCACCGGCATCCCATATGGGCGCCAGTTCTGGTCCCGGCTGCTCCTCTTCCGATCCAGCTCTCTGCTGTGGCCTGGGAAAGCAGTAGAGGATGGCCCAAATCCTTGGGCCCCTGCACCCGTGTGGGAAGACCGGGAGGAAGCTCCTGGCTCCTGGCTTCAGATTGGCGCAGCTCTGGCTGTTGCGGTCATTTGGGGAGCGAACCAACGAAGGAAGACCTTTCTCTCTGTCTCTCCCTTTCACTGTCTGTAACTATACCTCTCAAATAAATAAATAAAATCTTTAAAAAAATCCATAAATTTGGAAATGAACCAGTTAAAAGTTAGCTACAGTTTTGTTTCTCAACTCCCTGTTAGGGAAAGCCACTTAAAATGCTTGGCTCCAGTTTCATTATTTGTAAAATTTGCAAAATAATTATCTCATCCATGTATATGTTCATTTGGTCTATTAGTATAAGTGTTGATAATGTCTTTGCATTCTTTTCATATATTTCATGAAAATGTGATCTATGAAAAACATTTTAAAGTTATTAAACCATTCACAATCATACTGATTATAGTTATTGACTCACTGTAACAAAAAATTGAAGTATTTTAATCCAAGTTATTTTACTGTTAATAATCTTCCTCGTTTCTTCTTACCTGTTTAATAAAAAAGTAAGGTGCATGAGCAAAATTAACACTTTAAGATTTGATTATTATTTATAGCCCTTGCCTATACTCTTTTTTAAAAGATTTTATTTTATTTGAAAGAGTTACAGAGAGAGTTAGAGATAGAGAGAGAGGTCTTCCATCTGCTGGTTCATTCCTCAGATGGCCACAATGGCTGGAGCTGAGCCGATCCGAAGCCAGGAGCTTCTTCTGGGTCACCCATGTAGATGCAGGGGCTCAAGGACTTGGGCCATCTTCTACTGCTATCCCAGGCCACAGCAGAGAGCTGGATTGGAAGAGGAGCTACCAGGACTAGAACTAGCGCCCATATGGGATGCCAGCGCTTCAGGCCAGGGCTTTAACTTGCTGTGCCACAGTGCCAGCCCCTGCCTATACTCTTAAGGAACAAAGTTTTTCTACTTACTACATGTTGAATTCTTTATTTAGTGGAAGACTAAGCTTGTGATTATAAAGAAAATTTTAAATATTTTAAGTCATTGCAAAAATTAAGAGAAAAATAAGAAAAGAAAGGAG